TTAGCTGTTATAAAACTTCAATTATATCATTAAAATACCTTATTTTACTTGGCAATATATATGCAATTAAATTAAATAAGAGAAAGAAGATGGAAAACTGCTGTAATTTTGTCATTTTTGTTATTTTTCCAATGTCTGACAGGCTAGCTTATAGAAAAACATGTGATTGAGTGGCATTAAGCCAGGGGTCGCCAAAGTGGTCTATATCGACCCCTGAGGGTCGATATAACATTATTGGGGGGTTGATGTAAAGACTAAAACTTACAAATTTTGAACGGAATATTGCTAATCTTGCTAAGGATTATCAAGCTTATCCATCTTATTGATTGTCAGTTACAAAAATTATTATTAACATATGTACTGTACAGTACTGTACTATAAATGTAAAAAATGTAAAATTAAAAGATAATATTAAAATAGTAAGCGCTTTTTGTTTTTGTTTGTAACACACACTTTTTGGTGTGGGTCAATGTGAGGTTTCAAAAAGTTGTAGGGGGCCAATGATGAAAAAAGTTTGGCGACCCCTGCATTAGGCATTAGTTTACTTCTGTGTTGTGTGTAGCACCACTGTATCTTGTTTCTCAAATTTTCTATCCTTTCTTTGTTTCTATCTATGTAGCGAATGCCACAACGTCCACAAAACCAATTTGCTGCAGTACATTCTATTGTGTTTTTATACAATATTCATTATTTATAAGAACATTTTTCTTATTTATAAACATGTAACTCTAGTGTTTTGGGGGTCCGGAACAAATTAATGGCATTTCAATTCATTTCAATGAGGAAAATTGATTTTGACATATGAGTAATTTGAGTTACAAGTTCCGTCATGGAACAAATTAAATTTGTAAGTCAAGGCATCACTGTATAGACATAGGAAACAACTTTTAATTTTTATTTAGTATGCAAATAATTCATATACCTTAAAAATATTAAGTAATTAAATGCTATGGTTTGTGTTAACTTTAGAATGACCTTTTATTGACTTTATATACCCTTTACTAAAAGGTATAAAAAAATCAGTTTAATACATAGTTTTTAAGATTAAAAATAAATTTTCTATGAAAAGTAAGAAATTGAATTTATAGAACAATAAAAAAAACACAAAAAATGAGTAAACTATAAATCAAAACATGTTTATAGCATTTTGGAATTTAATTTTAAAAAATTAAATTAAAACATATACAGAATCTAAAATAGAATGTTTGTATATTTTTCCAATATAAAAAAATCTATTATGAATACAATTAGCCATTTAAAGAAATTCAAAATTACTTTAAAAGCACATTCATTAACTGTTTTCAAGCATCTCTCACCTCATCTTATTATATGTACTTTTGAACAAGTAAATGAGCACAAATCTAAAAATATTCAATTTATCAACATTTCTAATGCAGATATATATTTTAAATGTTTTGATACACAAACATTTTAAAAACTTTAAAATATTTAAAATTTTAAATGTAAAACTAGTGATGTTTAACTTAAATTTCAAATTTGTGCTTATTTGCTTCAAGTGTGATGTCTGAAAATGAAAAAGTTTGTTTTTATACTGGTAATTGTATTTATAATGGATTATATAGAAGGATGTTGACTGAGAATAGCCTTTAGATAGATCATCTGAACAATACTTTGGTATAACAGGATTAGCAATATAAATTATTAACAGTGTACAAGTTAAAATAACTCACTCTAGTTATTCTGAATTTTATATATAATTAGATCCATTTTACTTGAAGAAATTTAATAATAAATAAAAAGTTGGATTTAATTAACAAAAAATTCAAAATAAAATTGAAAGTGATTTTGAAACTATTATTATTATGTCCATGTTTTGTATAAAAGTTTATAAAACTTGGCATTGTATTGATTAATCTATATATATAATCAAGACGGGTTAATAATAATAATAAGTGCAGAGCCCAAACGGTTATGAGTTGAAAGTTGAAATTTGGTACACAGTTAGAGTATGTCACGAGAATGCACACTAAGAAGGGATTTTTTGAAGTCCCCCCACGGGGGAAAGGGACAGGATTAAGTCTTCAACAATGGAAGTGTTAAGTAACAATGGTAGTGTTAATGATGGAAGTGTTAAGAGAACGCTATGTACAAGATTTACAGGCGCAGATGCGGTTTTTTGTGTTTTTGCGGGATATCGAACATATTTTTAGACCCATCTAAAAATTCTCTAATTAGTCTGGAAACAGGTGGACCTAATTCTTGCATTCTGTGAAAATGGGTAAGACTGGCTGTAATGTAATAATCTTAATCTTTGCTATCGTTACTTTTTGTTGAAGCAATGCCGGGCTTATCTGCTAGTATATATATAAACTACTAAGTTCAGGTAGATGACAATATTTTTAGCCAAACATACAACCATTCTCAGTTTATAAAACTCAGTTAACAAATGGCTAGAATAATAATGAACTTATTTAAAATTAAGAATGGAATGTATACAGCAGAAATAATTATATTAAAATTCAGAACAATTAGAATAAAATTTAGAAATTATAATTGTATGCAGTAAAATGTCCGAGAAGAGAACACAAGATATTCTATTATATATACAATAAACCCTTAATATAATAGACTTGTTGTGAAAAGGGATATCTGCTATTGCCGAAAGTCTGTTAAATCAAATGTATTTTAAAAACATAATAACAGACTTAAAATTCTGTATACATTTCATTCTTAATTTTAATCTGTCAATTGAGCTTTTATAAACTGATGAAACTCTGATGTTAGACTGGAAAATGGAAAATTTTACTAAAAGTGTAGGTTATCTGAACTAAGCAATTGGTTTATTTTATTTATTCGTCTTTACTTTGGTTTTTTAGGAAAATTATATTTCATTCTGTTTAGAAAATTATTAAAAGAATTTTGCAGGTGAGTTATAATTCTCTAAATGGAATGAGAGAATCTGTAGAATTTGTGTACATTAGAAAATCATTAGCATGATCAGGAAAGGGCCTGAGGCCTTCCTTAACTTTGTAAACAAGTACAGGAAGAAAGATTTAAATGTGATAAATGCATTTATACGTATGCACTGTACTGTACATACAATATCTAAGAGTTTACACTTCATCCACTATTCTAGTGGCAATGTTCATAGCAGTATAGGAATGAATATTAGTTTGCATGTGATAATTCCAGCTCCCTAATACAAGTTATAATTCTCTTAAGTTTCATTTTCACGAGAATTTACAAAAAAATTATAATGAATCAAATTTTGGATGGTTGTCAAACGTTTTACGACATCCATTAAAAAGTTTAATTACAGATTTTTCACTTTTCCAATAAAATAATAATAAAAAGTGACTGTAATTTTAATTTTTATGTTTTGATTTAAGTGTCGCGATTAAAGAGAAAGCTAAAATAAACATTAAAACGTACTAAAACATCGGTTCTAAACATAAATTTTGGAAAAGTAGTAAAATTTGCTTAACTGGAAATATTTCTGTAAGAATTTGAATGATATAATTAAATTCTTTTTGATATAATTAATTAATTTCGATTTATTTAGAATTAATTTTATTAGATATAAAGATAATAACATGAAGACTTTTAATCAAGGAATTAAAATAAATTTAATGATATTTTTCAAATTTTATTAAGTTTTAATTAAAAGTTTAATTGTTTTAATAATTGAAATTGTTTAATAAATAAAATTTATATGGATTTTTTAGATTTTTAATTAAAATATATTTTCTCTCTCTCTCTTTCAATTTACGGAAGTAATATATGAAAATGAGAGTCATATTGATTTAAAGAAAGAAAAAACTGGGGCCTGATAATTAGGAAAATATTATGTTTATGTTATATTATTATTATTATTATTTAATTAAATATTTATAGAAGAATAAATGATTTCCTTTAAACTTTTTAATCATTTTCCATTAGCCAAACCTAATGTGTGCCTGTTGAACCTATGATAGGGAAGAAAAGAAGGCTATCTTAGTGCTTTAAAGCATTTTAAAAAAAAAAGTCCTTTCAAGTGTTTTTGGGAAGGGAAAAGGGCCTTTCTAGTGCTTTTAGGATGGAAAAAAGGGCCCTGAAGGTTATAGAAAAACTTTGATTTTAATTGGATTATATTTATTATTTTTTTTATTGATTAAGATTGCTAAATAAACTTAAATTTTATTTATTATTTTAAAATTTAATATTGCAAAAATATTTTATTGTTAACTTGCAATGGAACTATACATTGTTAAGAAGAAAAAATAATTTATAAAGTCTGTGTTCTCTTATATTAAATTTGTTAGAGATTTATGATTTATTATTTATTGTGTATCATATATCAAAAATAAATTCTTTTTAATGCAATAGCCAATTATTTTTGGAAAGAGATTGGTAACAATCCAAAAGAACAGACAGTAGATCTACTAAAACTTTTTTTTTTTTCATTTTTTCTGTACCAAAAAAGAAATGAAACAGAACAGACTTAAAATAATTGAATTCGAGTTTTAAAGATTTCTAATTTTTTTTACATATTCCTACTTTTTCAGTTAATAATAATAAAATATATTTAAAACAGAAAAAATTTATAAAAGAGATTTTTTTCCTATTCTTGACTTATCAATTTTATCAGAAATATGAAATAGTATATATATTAAAAATTTATATTTGTTTTATTATCTAACCATTCTGTCAATTATTGCTCCTCCTCTTCTCTGATGCTCATCATCATCATCATCCTATTGTCTTACAGCTATTCTGTCAACTCCTCCACCTCCCCCTCATCATCATCATCATCATCATCATCATCATTAATAATTTTGATTTAGGTCTTTTGACCTTTTTCATATCTACCTACTTTTGGGAGGGCCTTTCTGTCATTTAACTAATGCTATTTAATGTTATATGCTGTATTGTCTACTTTAAAGTTAATAATCAAAATTTCAAGTCATTATAATTTAAACTTAATTATATTTACAAAAAAATTAATTTATTCATAAACTATACAATTAGAAAACAAATACAATTTCATTTTTTTTCCTCTTTAATGATATTTAAGTTGTGCCAAAGTTGATACTGCATTCTTGTACCAAGTGCACATAAAAGCTAAAAAGAACAAACTTGAAATGTTCACAAATATCCTGTGAAGCAACTTCATAACTTTTTACAGAGACTCATCTACTCTAGATTCTATAAATTTAACATGAATACGATAACTAAATGAAGTAAAGAACGGTATCGGTCTTTTTTTTTTTTTCTCCGGATCAAATTTATTATCAAGGGTACAAGCACGCAGTAATATGTAATTTCCATTCATGAGACGACGTGACTCATCTCTTTTCCTTTTGAATACAGGTCTCCTCTTAAAACAATGTGACAACTGAAGAGCAACTTTTGTAAGTGTCCAGTCTAATTTTATCCACATCTGTTGATTCTGGAAGGATGAAGACATATGTAAGAGTAAGTCAAATGTTGATATATAATGTTTAATAAGTGAAATTACCTTATGTTACAGCAGGTCAGGCCTGAATAAATAAAAAGAAAAGCATTATTTTAGTTTTAAAAATTACAAAAAGTACTTTAATTAAGGAAATTTAATATATGAAAAGTTGAAGTATCGTAATTTACATGCTAAGAGTTGGTCTATAATTTTCTCAATGTATAAGAAAAGTATTGCATTGATTTAGATTTCAATTTTTCAAAAAAAAATTTAAAAAAATCGAGTTGCCATGTTTGAAATGGATTGCGCTTTATAAACAGGATCCAATTCCTCAATCCTGTCAGTCACAATACTTTCAATTTTTCAAAATAAAATGTAAAAAATATGTTAAAAAAATTTTTTTAAAGAACTTCTAATAATAAAAATGACAAAATTAATATATTTCTTACTTTAAAATTAACCTATATGTGTATATATTTAATAATTTTCCTTTCAGTTAACAACCTGTAAAATTTATTAATTAACATACCATTAATGGTTACTTTAAATTATTATAAAAGTAGTTTTAACTTAAGATTTAATTAATTCATAAATATTTAAATTAGGCATTTTAATTTGAAACTGTGTTTCAAAACAGCTGTTAAAGTCTTGCGCAAAGCATTACTTAATTTGGAAGTAAATGGATAATAAAAATAAGACGAGCAAAGTTTTGTTTCATCTTCACAAATTAGACAACTGTACATTTGAGAGTAGAGATAATTGCCACTGTCTTAGTATGGTATTGAGTGCTCTTTTGAGAATAGGACAAATTATTCCAGAGTGCATGCCTTGTTAGAACATTCACTGCATTCGATTAATATTAATAAGCATTAGAATGATAATGATTCAAAGGCAACCAATTTATTGATATTTTGAGATATATACAAACATAATTGACATTGTTAGGATATAATTAAACGTCAGATAGTAACTGTAAAGTGCCGGGAAGAATGGTTATTATGTGTTAATTTTATAGCAACTGTAAAACTCATTAATCTTACAGTTTCATAAGAAGTACCTTAAACTTTTTTTATAGAGGAGATTTCAGAATGATGTTTCTTATATTGATTAGCTAAGAACAACTTTAGTTTTCATAACAGAAAACTAACAATGTGCATTAGTACATGACAAGGAAAGAAAGAATTTAAAAGAAAAGATGGAATAGAAAGATTGTTTTACAAGAAAAATGTTGTAGAAAGATGAGAGTGAACATAAAAAAATATATATATATTATAGATTAAAAGAGATTGAAGAGAAGAAGAAAAAACATTTGTCATAAGAATGTTTCAAAATATTTTTAAAAATATATAGCGACAGATCAATGGAAGTAAAATTCAATAAAGTGAAAGAGAAGTGTCATAGAGTACTGCAGGAAACTTTCAAGTTATAATAATGAAAGATGTCTGTTTGATATTGTTTCTGTTCAGTTTTTTTTATCGATTTTAATATAATAAGAATATTTACTATTTATTAATAAGTCAGTTACAAACAAAGATGCACAAACTAAAATTGAGCAAGGTAAGTTCTATAGGCTACATACACAGTGTATAAATTTTAACTCTAATTAAATATTTATTCATATTTTGAATTCTAGAACAGGTTCTGTTATTAATTTAGAACTTTTAATGAAAGTCTGAATAGAAAATTCTGAAGAAGAAGCAATTTTGTAGGTTAGAAAATAAGATAAAAGCATGATCTGACTTTATAACAAATGCAGAANTAATAATTATTAATATTATAAGAGAAAGTTATAAGTATATTTAATCGTCTTGTTTGAATGGATTTAAATTAGGTTAAAAAGTTTTCTATGAACATATGTCGTCCTCTGCAATATACGTTAGATACGAATCATTAACGAAATGGACATATATTTTAAAAATTTAAAAATTTATGCTGATACAAACTTTTTGAACTAGTTTAAATTTAATAATTTTAATGGAAAAGATTTCGAAGTTAAAATGAAATCTGTCTTTTACTGATTTATAAACCTTTCCTGCCATTTCTTTTTTTCTTTCCTTACTGATTACCGAATTTAAAGCTGTGTTACAAAAGTATGGCATCATGATTAATGAACAGATTGATAAAGATCAATAGGGAATTTTGTTTCTTACAGAGAAAAAAAAAATCATTCTTTTATCTGTATCTATTGGCCTCTTTTTTTTTAGTGAAGAAAATTCTCTTTTGCTTCAGTTGATCAATTGACAATTCAATTTTATTAGTGATTTTCTAGAATCTAACTAGGACTTTAATTTTATGTGATTAATGAGATTTAACTTCAATTTTTATTATTCAATATCGAACAAAATTTATAAAAATGAATATTTTAATTATGTAAAATAAAATTGAATGATTTTTTTTTTTGATAAAATGAAGATAAATGTTGATCTTCTAAGCATAAAATCTAATAGTTGTTCAGTTTTGATCTTTGCTTAAGGATATTTAAAGGAATTAACAAGATTTGCATACCTAAATTTCTTAAGTAAATAAAGCTATATCTCTTATATATCTTTAGACATCTCTTAGGCAAGGGTGAATAAGTAAGTATCTCTTAGAATTATGCTTAGAAGGTATACATAAAATAAAAATTCTTAAAAGTAAAATAAATAAAATAAAAAAAAAATTGCTGTAGGGAAAAAAAAATCTTTTGAAGTCTTCAATATTTCCAATTCAAGAGTGATCTTTCTTTTAAGATATCACGAAATTGGATAGGTTGAAATTCGAGCCAGTCTACTCAGAATTTCTAAAGCCAACTTTAAAAAACTGTTAAAGTATAATCTACTTATGCTATCGAATCAATCAATTTGCAAAACATCTCTACAACTTTGGAATAATAACAGCATTTTGATAGTATTTTCGAAGTAGTCGAAGCGTTAAGAGCTATCTAGATATACAAAATTTAATCTTAGGATCGACTCTTTGGGGATACCAAAGCGTTTTTTGAATGTGCACGATCACGTCTGATCAAACTTTATTTATTTATTTATTTTTCTTCTCTTTCAACCAGTCTTTTATGTACTCCATTGATCTTTATTTATGAAGGAAAAAAAAATTCAATTTTTTTTTCTTTTTAAACTATTTATTGTAATTTTATAAAGTAATACATTTATTCTTATTCTTTGAAGACTTTTCAGATTAATCTGGTAATGTAATTTCGGTATTATAGTGAAAGTTAGCCTGATACAATGGTACTGTACGTGCTGTATTAATACTATCCGATTTCTGAATGTGGATAAGTGAATATAAGCGTGTATAGGAATGCTGATTTGTTCGAGGAGATAATTATAGTAAGCAGTTGCCTAATGCTTATTCAGTTTTGAACTTAGTTTGCTATTATGTAACATCATTCACGGTTTAATTCTCTTACAATTAATGTTACGAAACTATTTTGAATATTTCCGTGTTCCTTCGTATTTATTTTTTTTTTTAATAAAAGTAAACTGTATAACATGAGTTTAAAGTTTATTTGCTATCTTGATTTGCTATTTGTGTGTGTTTTTAGTTTTTCAATAATGCGGTTTAAAGTTAATTATTGTTTCTTTACGTGTCTAACTTTTTATTTTACGATGACGATGATATAAATTAATAATTATTAATATTATAAGAGAAAGTTATAAGTATATTTAATCGTCTTGTTTGAATGGATTTAAATTAGGTTAAAAAGTTTTCTATGAACATATGTCGTCCTCTGCAATATACGTTAGATACGAAGAGTTAACGAAATGAACGATTGGTCGAATAATAAAAGTAGGCGGAGTTACATGTTTTTTTTTTTTTTAAAATTAANAAAAATAAATAAAAGAAAAACTGTTTTTACTGAAATATGATTTTTCAAAATCATAATTATGACTACTAGAATTAGCTGCTTCAGATTTTTGAATTATAGCAAAACTGCGATCTGACATTGAGTGTACAGTACAAGCTTCTGTAATAGTTACGAATCAATTTCATCCTGTTTATAAATTATTACAGCTTTTAGTTAAGATAAAAGTATCGTACTATTTACCATTTTTATATACTACCTTAAAATGCTCTATTGGATTCAGATCAGGTGAGACAGTTGACCATTCTATCACAATGCATCCCGTTATCCAAAAATCATTTCCAGATAGTATTTTCTGTATTAACTAGTGCATTATCTTGTTGCAGAATCCAAAATAAATCGTTAATTCGATAAAAATAAGATGACAAATTGTTCTTTAGAAGCTTTTGGTAATCCACAGCTTTCATTATTCTTGATGCGAAAACAATATCTGTCTTACCATGATATTTGCAGTCATTCCGGACCATGATCGATCCCCTTGCTGCCTTTTCGAAGATAACTGGGTTTTATAGGAAGTGACCTCCGCACTATCTGCTATGACTGTCTAAATTAATACTTTTAATCAGTTAATATCACTCATATTTTTTCTTAGGAAATGTGATGTGTGGCTTCTTGTGCTTTTTTTTGCCATTTGTGGCTATGTGTTTCACTTTGCATACAATACACAACTTGTGCCAACCCCGGACAAGATAGATTTAGAGAAGTTAAATAATGGATCTTTTGCTATTTGTCGAAGAGAGACTTTTTCACTTCTTAGAACATCTAAAATCAAAGAGCTTTTCTCTCCAACTTGGTGATTTATTTCTTCTGTAGTCATCACCCAATCGAAGAAAATTTAGGATTGTGTCGTGAAATCAACCTAACATTTTAGCAATTGATTTCACCGATTTGCTAAAATCTTTCCTAATCTGGCCTTTTTAAAATTCGCTTAAAGTTTATCCTTCATACCATCTTACGCAAACGATTATCTGGAAGTTCCACAGTAAAAAAAATAAGTCACCCAGATGGTTGCATCGTCGGAGTAATTTGCATTACTCTCGATGGTAAGTAAAAACATTACAAGTTAACTGCATAATATTAAGACAGCAGTCTTAATTTTTATGAAATGGTCATACCATTTTGTAATACAGAATTTCTAAGGCAATAATAATTCTATTTTAAAATATTTTAAATTTAACTGGTTTATAGAAATAACCCCTTTTTTTTTACTGTCTAAAAAACTTTTTCACATTATATAACTTATACTAAGCGATCTGACATTCATTTAGATTCATTTAGACTTTGTTGTTTGAATGTTTATTACTTCAAATTTAAGATTCTCGCCATTTTAAAAAGCGACTTTCATGGGGGAAAAATTAGATGATAATTTAAAATAGAGTTTTAAAGAGTAAAACGTTATTAATATACTTATAGTATTGATATAATTAATAGAAAATACTAAAAAAAATTCCCATCACGTACAGACTTTGCATGGCAAGAATATCCTGAATTTAAACTGGGAATTGTTCGAGTCCAGGAGTTTAGTCTTAAACACTTTACGTAATATGTAAAATTTCGGTGTTGGGTCTAGTCCCCCACTAATCGACTATTCACTATGGTTTTGCTAAATCCACGATAGTCATAAGAAAAAGTCCTTTAAAAAATTTAAGAAGCATCTTGAATTTAGATGCACCCTAATTTTAAATTCGAAAACGTATGAGGAAAATCTAAAATTCAAAATAATAAGATACTGTACTATATTGTACTGTATACGTAGTGTACAGTACATACGTATACTCCTAAATTTCAAAATTTTAAAGATTAAAGAACGAAGATTTATTTAAAAATAAAGATTCAAAAGAAGTCATAAAATTTTTGAAATATGATCTTAGATATTCAATCGAACGATTTACATATTTATTCTAAATACAGTCGAACCTCTAACAGCAGCCATTTTTTTCCAGTGCGGTCTTTTGAGCAAAATGCCTTCAAACAACGGCTTTTTTATGGTTCCGTTAGTGGTCTTTGTTTAGAAGTTTGATTGTTTATAAGTAATAAATATCTCGAAAAATGATTAATTTATTACGCTACAGAACATAGTTTTGTATAACTTTTATGTAAGTTTGAATAAATTAATCAAACTTTCAACATTAATAATATGGCTTCTATTATAAACAATATAACTTTATTTAAATTTTATTGATTGGTCGAATCATAATTTAATATTTATATTCATACTTCATTATTCTAGAGTAGACAGAATATATAAATCAATTATATTTTATACCGAAAATACTTAATTATTTAATTTATTATTAATGAAATTAATATGGAATAGCTAAGGAATAGTTTAGTTGAAACTACGTATTTGTTGCAAATTAAGTTAGGAATTTTGGTTATGAGATAATGCTTAATAAACAATTTATAAGATCTCGTACATTAATTCTAGACGGTAGGATGGCTGATGCAGGAATGATAGCTTACTACTATGGGAGATATTTTTTCGAGTTCGGGTCCTAAGACTCAGGAATTTTTCATGGCCCATCTATCTCGGATCTGTCGAGTTCCATCCCTCACCATCCGTATCTACCAGTAAAATTTTCCGGATTTTCTTTATGTATCTAATATCTAAATAGGGATAATTTCCCATAGAAAATCTTCTGGGAGATACCCTGTTCTTTGCAAATCCCTCATATGTTGCACTGTCTTATATCAATTTAAATCCTTCCCCAGTGCGGGCCTAACCTAACCCTCGATTGATATGATGAAAAAGACCTTCTTACTGCCCTCAGAGAGGATAGTTTAAAGAATAAGTTGTCAATGAAAAGTTAAATCTTAAGTTAATAATTAGTATTGAAAGTTTTAAAAACTGCTGTTTTATTCATTATCAGTGCAATTTTATTCATCATTAGGCTGTTAAAGATGCACAACCATATATGCGTTTCGTAATGATATGAGCATCCATTATTTTACGCGCAACTTTGCTAGAAATTAATAAAAAAAAACGAAGTCTCGACCTTGGAAGGTAACATTTTATTTACTGTACTGTTCTGTAATATACCGTATTCAACTAAATAAAAATGGACTTAGAAAAATAAATAAAAGAAAAACTGTTTTTACTGAAATATGATTTTTCAAAATCATAATTATGACTACTAGAATTAGCTGCTTCAGATTTTTGAATTATAGCAAAACTGCGATCTGACATTGAGTGTACAGTACAAGCTTCTGTAATAGTTACGAATCAATTTCATCCTGTTTATAAATTATTACAGCTTTTAGTTAAGATAAAAGTATCGTACTATTTACCATTTTTATATACTACCTTAAAATGCTCTATTGGATTCAGATCAGGTGAGACAGTTGACCATTCTATCACAATGCATCCCGTTATCCAAAAATCATTTCCAGATAGTATTTTCTGTATTAACTAGTGCATTATCTTGTTGCAGAATCCAAAATAAATCGTTAATTCGATAAAAATAAGATGACAAATTGTTCTTTAGAAGCTTTTGGTAATCCACAGCTTTCATTATTCTTGATGCGAAAACAATATCTGTCTTACCATGATATTTGCAGTCATTCCGGACCATGATCGATCCCCTTGCTGCCTTTTCGAAGATAACTGGGTTTTATAGGAAGTGACCTCCGCACTATCTGCTATGACTGTCTAAATTAATACTTTTAATCAGTTAATATCACTCATATTTTTTCTTAGGAAATGTGATGTGTGGCTTCTTGTGCTTTTTTTTGCCATTTGTGGCTATGTGTTTCACTTTGCATACAATACACAACTTGTGCCAACCCCGGACAAGATAGATTTAGAGAAGTTAAATAATGGATCTTTTGCTATTTGTCGAAGAGAGACTTTTTCACTTCTTAGAACATCTAAAATCAAAGAGCTTTTCTCTCCAACTTGGTGATTTATTTCTTCTGTAGTCATCACCCAATCGAAGAAAATTTAGGATTGTGTCGTGAAATCAACCTAACATTTTAGCAATTGATTTCACCGATTTGCTAAAATCTTTCCTAATCTGGCCTTTTTAAAATTCGCTTAAAGTTTATCCTTCATACCATCTTACGCAAACGATTATCTGGAAGTTCCACAGTAAAAAAAATAAGTCACCCAGATGGTTGCATCGTCGGAGTAATTTGCATTACTCTCGATGGTAAGTAAAAACATTACAAGTTAACTGCATAATATTAAGACAGCAGTCTTAATTTTTATGAAATGGTCATACCATTTTGTAATACAGAATTTCTAAGATAATAGGAAATTTTTTACAGCCCTGTTTTTATTTTGCTTGTTTTAATGATCATTTGCATTTAATTAATAATTTAATATTATGACCGAAAAAGTTCTTCATTTCAGTTTTTTGCTGGTTTATTTGAAAAAGTCCCATGATCATATTGTGAAATGCCCTGTATATTGCTAGCAAGCACCGCAAGTACACACCTACGACTTTGAAGCTTTAATCTATTAAGTATCAATATATAAATACATTTTAGAAAGTTTACATATTGGTAATTACGTAATGTAAAATTTAAAACATTTCTGTAAAACTTGTCTAGTAATTTAATCAATTAATTTCAATATTATAAACCTATATACCAGCATTTAATTAAACGATTTTCAATTACTAATTTTTCTACTTAATATTTTGGAATTTTAAATTAATTTTTAAAATGTAAAATAGAAAACCACAGAGGAAACTAACTTGTGTATTTTCAAGTTTTCTTTTACATTTGTCACTAGCCTGAAAAAAGGTAAGAAGGTGATTAATTTCTATTATTTTTTTTCCAATACAAAAACATGAATTTAAAAAAATAAAGTAAAAAGAAAATCCAAACATTGTTAAATATTAAAAAAAATTAATAATAACTGAAATTTTATTTTTTTATTTTTTGAGTTTTTTTAGTAACCTTGACGTTTTTGTCACCCACATCGTCCAAATCGTAAATTCCATCAGCTGCCAAATTCTCATAAGCTGAGGTAACTTTGCTTTCCCAATCTTTACATTTCTCATCATTCTGTTTGAAACTATTTCCCGTTTCTTCCTGCAATCGTCGATGGTTTCTTCCAAAAATCGAAGTACAATTTCCGTACACCTTTAAAAAAATAAAGAAAAACAAAAAAAAATTATTAAATTAAACTTAACAAAATTCATTTCAACTCCTAAAAAACGTATATAAAGAAAAAAAACCGTTTTAAATCATTTCAAAATTTCAAATCGACCAATCAAACGTTACCGATTTAAACACTGGTTTTTTTCCCCTTCTCTGGTGTTATTAACTGTAACCAATCAAGAGTGGTGTTCGCTCTTTTGAAGTCGATAGTCATTAATGTGCCATATATGAACAACCTATTGGCTGTGTTTCGGCTATTTTGAATTTAACCTGCTTCGTAAAATGGCAACTAATCACTGTGTTTTGATGTTGCCGACTACCTTTTTAAAAATTAAGATAATTAAATAAAGAGATTTCTCTTAATTAACGGAAAGCGTTCATTTATTTAATGTATTAAGTAGTAAATTAGGAAAATTATAACTTTTTTTTTTTATTTCGTAATTCTCAGCCTACCGAACGTATAAAAGTAATTATCAAACCTGCTTATCATTCGCTTAATGAAGTCTGATTTAGCTCATAAATAATCGAGTTTGCGATGCAGCGAGAAAATAGCCAAATTTTATTATATAAATAATTTATTTTATTCATTTATTAATAAATAATTTCAGGTGAATGATTGTTTTGCTATCATATTATCTTGTTTTGTAGCACAGGAACATTAACTCTCCGATCTGAGATAAAGGAGGAAAGTTGAACTGTCACTTTGATATTGATCGGCGATTGTAGGGTTTTATTATCATTAGGTTGAAATCCAGGCAAAGTGGATTAATGGACAAGAGTTGTATTTCTACTAAATCTTTATCATCGGTGATACATTTAATCCATTTATTAGAATTCTTTGAAGAAGAAGAAAAACGACAGTTTATAATGAATTTTTAAAAAATAATTCAATTTTATAGTTAGAAAGTATTAAAAAAAGTTCTATTAAAAACAAATTTTAAATTATTAATTTTTTAAAATTCTTTTTTAGAATAATAATAATTTAAAATGTGTATTTTCGAAAAAAACCGTTTTAAATCGTTTCAAATTTTCAAATCGACCAATTAAACGTCATCGATTTAAAAAAAACATCGTTTTCTCCTCTCCGATTGGTGTTACGTGTTACGTCACTAATTGTGACCAATCAGCGATGACAAATCGCTTCTTTAAAGTCGATGATCGCTAATGCGTCACAAATAGACAGCCAATTGGCTTTGTTTTAGCGATTTTGAATCTAACGTACTTTGAAAAAGAAAAAAAAAGATTCTTTATATTTCGTGCATTATTTAAATTTATTTATTTATTTTTTTTAATTAAAAAGTTATAATTAATTTAACGCTTCATAAATCAATTAAAGCATTCTGTTGTTGTTAATTTATTTTAAATATAAATTATCATTAAATAGAACTTTGATAAATAAATTTCTAGACAAATTCCTTATCTGCCTGACACTAAATTTTGATTTAATATCTTTCCATATCTACTCGTTAATGATATTTTTGTGGATGATGTAGAGTTAATATATAAATAAATTTCTTAACTAATTTCCTAAGAATTTATACTTGAATAATTATAGAATATTTTTCCCATAAAAGTTGGTGGAAAGAATGAATCATTCCTCCATTTTCTGAAGGAACATCATTAATATTTTCGTGTTATAAGGATAAAAATTACGTTATAGCGTGACTGAATTCTAAAAATTAGTTAAAGGAATATTGAGTCTTCAACAATTTCTTCCACTAATATATCAATTTATACTTACAATTTAATGTGTTTCCAGTAATTGGGTTTTTTGTTTTTGAAATCTTTGCTTAGTTTGAAATCTGCTTGCTTAGTTTCTGTTCAGGGTGGCCCAAAAATCAGTTAACAAGATATATATGTAATTTTTAAAAGTTAATTTAAGTAATTATGGTTAACTGACTTTTTGGTATAAATATTTATCAAATTTGCAGAAGATGATTTTAAAATACTTTACTGTAATTTAATTTTTAATTATTATCATTTACAGCAAATAATGATTTTCAAGTAATAAGATGTAGTCTATAGAAGTTTATAACTAAGTTACAAGTAAGAATTATCAGATATAAAATAGATCTGTAGTAAAATTTTATTTAAAGAATAGATAAGTTTATGAGAGTTTTATTTATTTCAGTGCTTAAAAAGTGTAAAATCTATTAAATGAGTGAAGAATTTAGAAGTGATTACACTCCAAACAATATTGAAGGATAATTTTATATAGTTTAATTATGAAAAATTATCAAATAATTGTTATTTTAACATACCGTAACCAAATTGTTGCTTACTAAAAAGTTGCTCAACAATAATTTATAATGTAAGTAAAACCTCTCAGTTAGACACTAGAAATGTGTCCAATTTAGACAGGTGCCCTATATGGAGGGAAAGAGAAACTTCTTTATAAACAAAATATAAGACAAATTCTGTAGGTAATTTTAATTACATATTATATTTTCCTTACTATACAAAATCCTAAATGATATTTAAAGTGTTAAATTTTATTTATTTTTTCATTTTACTATAGATGTTTAGGCTTTAATTAACAGTCTAACTTTAGTTGGATGGCCAGGATATAGGATTATACTACTTAATGCATTGATTCTCAACCATGGGCTTGGAAGGATAAAAATCAACTTATCATTTTAATTTTGTATTATCAGTAGCATGTTTTAGCTTCATGGAGCCCAGGCAAATTTGAATTTAGGTACCCCACGTACAGTAAAGTTTTCTTTGAGGAATTTTTGGGGAAATGTTTTATTATAAAAGATTGGTTTAGGGTTTCCTATTGATGTGAGATCCTGGCAATCGCTCTTTTTGCCCAAGGATAATGTACCACTTTGTTGTATAGTGTAAAATTGTTAATTATTGTATTAAGAAAGAAGCACATGTATTACTATATCATGTTTTTTACTTTAATAAATGTATTTTCTATATAACTGGTTTCTTTTGTAATTTTATTTTATGCATTTAAAAATGTTATTTTAAGAAGGGGTCCATAAACAAAAATTAAGAACCTTAACTTAATGTGTTGTATTGTATTATTCAAATCCATTTAATTATATTAATATTGTTTTAAATATATGCTAATTTGTTTTATTCTTTAATTAAGATGAAGCAAAACTATGAATATATTATAAAGATTTCATTTAATATTCAAAACTCTAGTTAATGGCAACTTCAGAACAATTTTGAACCTAAGTATCTGATAGAAACAAAATTCTTCAATATAATTATCTTTGAAAATTAGATCATAGCATTAAAATTACAAATCTTCTTAACTTTACTTCCCTAATTTATTAAAGTTTGCATGGATAAACAAATTGATAAAGTGAAAATAGCAATTATCTTTCCATAAAAAAACTAAGTTAAAACAAAAAAAATATTAGAATTTAATCTATTCAATTGAATATTCAATGAGATAAAACTATTCAATAAAATTTAAATTGTTAAATTTATATTACTTAATTTATTCTTCAATATTATAATATAAGATTAAAATTCTAAAATTATTGAAGATTAAATTGATAATGCAGAATGAATTTAATACATATATATATATTTTTTTATTATTATTTTAGGGAGCTTAATTGATAATATATGCTATTACAATGATTAATATCCTTTAGAGTTAATGTAAATTAACTAATCTCTTTATCCAAATTTGATAATAGAAAACACCCAGTTGATTTATATTCAAGTCCTCATTCTGCTACTTGAGCCTTAAATAATTCAAATTCAATTGAATATTTAAATTAATGAATGCGATAATCTCTGTAATTTTGAATATCTCGAGGACTTTCAAATGAAATTTTCCTCTTCGCGATCTTAAAACTTTTGAGAAATTCATTTCGTATTAGTAAGTATAATTATAAGTTTTAAAGTTCTAATTACTTTTCCTGTAATATGATATCTGTTACTAACAATTCTTGGAGTTCAAAGTTTATTTCTCCATCATTTTTCTGATGATTTATATATGGTTGAAAGATAATTTATCTTTGTGTCCAAAGGTAATTTAGCTTTAGAGAATAGAAGCTGAACTTCCAAGAGGAAAAAAAAAATCAAAAAAATAATAATTTCTTTGATGCTTTTTTTTTTTTAAAACATTTGAATTATTTTAAATGCTAAAATAATATATAAATAATTTATTTTACATTATTGATTTTTATAGATTTTTTTAACATAAAAAGGAACTGTTTATTGACTATTTTTTATAAACAAAAACATGCAGAAGTTTGGAAGCATGAAAGAAAAACTTCACTAATTATGAAAGGTAAATTAATTCTAAGAAATATAATAAGATATAAACTCATTTAGTGTCAAGTAAATTTAGAAATTCTTATTCTTTAATCATAATTAAGTTAAAATATTATAAGTAGGAGTATACAAATTTATTTATAGAACAAGATAAGAAAACTTTTATTGATATCTTCCTGCCTATTTATGAGAAACAAAAAGATATTTATTAAGTTGTTACACTATTTTTACATCCATATTTTTGATTTTTAGTTAAGAAATTCTTATAAATAAGTAAAAATAACAAGCTTTTTTTAAAAAAAATTTTACTTCAATCCACTCAATTAATGGATAACAATTTGGAAAAAAAATTGCCTATCGGGCGCAAAGTTTCAAAGGTATAAATTGCCTAAGAGAACTATAAAAAAATTATTAGAAAAGTTTTGTTGTTGTTTCTCTATAAATATCAGCAAAAATAAAACAAGTTATTTATTTATTTATCTGGGTATTGGATAGAATAAAATATTAAAATTTCCTGTACAAAATATAATGCTGTTACATATTTTGTTGTGCTTTTTAAATCAATAAGCTGGAAGTAAACATGAATTTTTATTTTATAACTTTGTAAAATTTGATGGAAAAATTTCATAAAGTTATACTAAAATATATATAAGATGCCTTGTAAACATATGTATATAGATACAAATAAGAGTTTTTTTTGATAAAACTATATAAAAATTAAATAGTTTTAGATGTATAGAAAAGAAAATTTTATATTTTAACATTCTCAATTACTCAATCTTCATTATAAACTGGAAAAAAAAATTTAGATTTTGGAGTATATTTATGAAATATTATGCAAGGATATTTGTAATATATATATACTTTTTAAAATCTTTGATAAAAATATGCTTTTATCTTATAATATCTTGATTTTTCAATAGGTAAAGTTATACTTCAATATATAGCTGCATATAAAAGTTACACTCATATATATGAACCTATAAATATATATATATAGAGTAAAAAAAATTCAGCATGCATTCTACAAAATAACAAATCTTATACGGTGAAATTTCTTTCTTTAGAAGAAATGCGCCATTTAAAATTTATTTTAGAATATAAAAACATAAAATAAATTTAGCGCAGGAAAATAAAAAGTCATATTCTAAATCGATTCATAAAGGATTGTAAGTCATATATTACGCTCTTTCTGCTAAAATCACAGTATAAATTTTGCTTTTTTTTATGTAAAAAACCTAAAATTCAATCCACAATCCTTTCATACATGGCGATTTATTATTTGTATCGATCTAGTCGTAGTTAGATTTCAATGCGGAATAGAGAAGCATTTTGCTTGAATAAATAAGTTAAAATGTTAATTTTGATATAATTTAACACCCGAAAATTAATTTTTAATGTATAAATTCGCTTAAAATTTACCGTAACAATCCCAAAAATGATGACAAAAACTAAAGAAGCACCAGCAATAACGATCAAAGCTGTCGCCCATTGTGGAATGCTACGTTCATCAGGATCGTGTGTGATCGCTTCTTTCAACTCCGGTTCGAATACTGTAAAAATCAAGTGGGCTATAATCAATTATTAAGCATTAAAAACAACTTCATATATACATCCTAAAAAAATCCAAATAGTTTATTTTATAGATAGAAAGATTTATATGTTATATATATATATATAATTCCAATAAGTGACTCTAACTCCTATTAAGATTTAATCAAAACGTTGCCCTAAACCATTTTCCTAGCTATAATCTTCTATAGTTCTTCTGTAAGAAAAAAAAAGGAAAGGACCTCTGGAGATGCAATAAAATTTACCATAAAAGTGGAATTGTACTCATTCTATTAAACCATGCACATTACTCGTCTCAGAATTCTCAGCATCCGAACAAGTGGAAAAATCGAAACGGATAAAAGCCATAGGATAAATATTATTTTTTTATGTTTGTAGCTCATTAAATTTGCTTCCGATTTCTATTTTTTTTTCTTAATTTTTTTTAAAGATAATTATCGAAAAAATCTCACTAAATTGATAGATGAAAATCATATTTAGGATTTTGTTTTTTTTTTCTAAGCAATCTTTGTACTTCTAACTTTGAGAAAGTAGTCCTGATTGGATGTGCTGCTGTGAATTCTGATAGGAATTGAAGGTTTTCCTGAACAATTCTTCTTCTTTTTTTTTAAGCTGCCCTTTTCCCTTTGAAATGTATTGATGGAATGATTGAAGATGCAGAAGGGATGCTTTAAAGAAGCATTTATTTTGCAAATTCCTCTTAAGTTCTTTTAATGGTATGTGGGAAATAGTAGAAACAATGTTTTACTACTAATTTCAGGCTTTATTTTAAGTTTATGATTAAGCAAATATTAATTATCTTCTTTTAATAACGAAGATAATTAGTAGAGTATACAAGTTTTACCGTACTTTTAATGGTTTTCTAAAGTATTAATGCTTAATATTGAAAAATGGGAATAGAAATAAAGGAATTGTAAATATTTAGATATATTTTGTGATAAGTTTTAAGAGATTTTAGAGACAGTAAATTGAAAAACTGTTATTTTTATGGCAGTTTTTTAAAGAATTATTTACAATCGATTAATCGTTAAACTCATAGCTATAATAATTTTTTTTAAAAATTCCCTATGCTTGTCTCTATATATCTTATGTATACTGCGAAGTATCTCGTATATCAGCGTATTTTCAAGATTCAAAGTTACGTTAATTATAAATTATTCACACCAGTGATTCTCAACCCTGTTGACTAGAGGCAGTGTTTAATCAAAGATATCCTTTATACATATAAACGAAAAGTGACGTTAAAAATTGCATTTAAAAAAAAAAAAAAATATATATATATATATATATATAAACAAATAAAAAATACAGAGACATCGTACTGAAGTTTTTAAATTGCAGATCTATAGATTCCCACTGTAGTACGTCTGTCCGTCCGAACTTCTTAATCTCAAGAAGGAAGATATTGCAAGCTTAGGGACTAGAGGTTCCCTATTAACCATATACTACATGTTTGGACCGGAAGTTACATGATTTTTAATTTTAAATAATGTTGTAACCTCTAGAAATTTGTGACTTACCGGTTGAAAACCACTGACAAAACGTAATTTTTTTTTTAATTTTAGTATTTAGAGATTATAAAAGTACAGTACATATACAATAAGAGAAACCTTACTTTGAAATTTAGTAAAGTGTCGATCCATTTGAAATCCACCAAATCCACCATCGGGTAGAAGATAACTGTTAAACAAAATTTCCATTTGTTGAGCTTCCACGTGCTTATCAGTTTTCACCAAAAGGTTGAAATCTACCATGACACTCCCTCTTCTTTTTTTTTTATTTACGTTTAATTTCATTCAGTTAACGAAACACAGATTCAAATTAAACACTACAACAATATATTAATAGTAAAAAAAATTATTACATTAAGCATTAACTAACCTGAATTTCTGTACAGATATCTTCTTGATATGTTTAGCTAACCAAGTTTGCCAAAACATTTCTTGTAACTATCAACAGTATAAAAAAAAATAATGATAATGATAATACTACTACTGTTTACTGCTACTACAATAATAAAACGTTTATTTTTCTTAAGAGTAAAGCATTAAAAAATTATACAAGAATTTATTGGATAACTAAATAAATCTAGAAGTTCTTGACATTAATCGTTTTAACTTTCAAAATTGCTTAAAAATATATATTATATAAATATATATATATNTAGCAGCACAAACATTAACATGACATATTTTAGAAAACAGTATAGAAACTAGTCTGGCTTGTCTGCATAAATGTCAACTTTAAGTGGAAATTTTCTACTAAAACAATTTAGATATTTAATATATTTAATTAATATATATATAAGTAATTTGTTTTTGATAAAATTTCTTAAATAAATTGTAAAAAAAAGGGTTTTAAATTACGTATTAAATTATTATTATTAATTTTAAATACAATAAATTCTGAAGTTTAGTAAAAGAATTTGAAAGCAGATTTCTGCAGTGTGAAAGTACCTGTAATTATAATAGTATTTGTATTGTGATTTATTTTTTTTCCAGTGTTTTACTTTCTCGGTTGTAACAGCACGACACCGGAAAGTATTGTAATCGTGTCAAATTTGTCCCTCCGGGTTTTTTTTTTTCAAATCGCGACGTTTTGAGACCCCTGAATCCCCCAAAATCTGTGTGTGTTTGAGTCTCTCTGATTTAATATCTCAGGATGGGGTAAAGATAAATAAATAAAAAAAAAACGAAATTTGGCATGATATCACGTGTATAAAAGGCATTGATGCTATTAAATTTTCCTTTACAGAACTCGAGGGGGCAGGGAGATAAGGGGATCTTGTCATATCTGGAGTGGGGTCGGATTTAATTAAAATTTACTCGTTACTGGCATTTAGAATAATTTTAAATCTCCTTTCTACCCTCAAAATCAAGCTATTTTCGCCTTTTTATAATAATTAATAATATAAAAGTTATTTTTAATAACATTCGTAATACACGCAATTTAAACTTTGAGTTAGTTCAGTGTTTTTTAAACTTAAATATATATTTTTAAATAGAGATTTTTACTATAATTCAACAAATTTACTCCTTTTAATATTTCTTTTTTATTATTTAAAATTTATATCCTATTATAATTGAAAATTAACTGACTTTTTAATGGTTCCTTTAACTTCCTGTTCGAGTTCTAGGAAAGCCCTTGCAAAGTATTTTTTAGTGACGGGTTAAGACGTTAGTTGATGACCGCTCTGGGAGATCCGAGAACGAATCCAGGCTAACCATTTCCCTGAAATTTTTCATGGACGGTATGTCCTGAATATGTCGTGCCCCATTGAGGGTTTGGTCGAACCCACGGGCGTGGAAAAAATTTCCTTTAGTGTCCACAAGGCATAAAGAAACAACAATGAAATAAAAACAGATACAGTATTTGTAAATCTCTTATTATTGGCCAGATGGCCTAGCGGCCAAGATGGCAGCGTACCGCTCTGGGTGATCCCGGGTTCGAATCCGGACGGGTCGATAAATCCCCAGGACTTTTCGGGGGATGGTCCGTCCGGATATGTAGGGCCCCGCCACATTGTGGGCCTGACCGAACCCATAATGGACTTGCTAAAAGAGGCCCTCTTAGTGCCCACAAGGCAAGAGTTAAAAAAATCTCTTGGTCTTTACAACGTTTCTGTCTATTGTAATATTTGAATTATCTATCACACTTAATCATTCTCGTGTGAAGAATCCACAGAAATCTAGTCGATATATTTTCTATACTGTATTTCTAAAACTCGTACTGTTTCCTTATTTTTCGAGTTTGTAACAATTTCAGTATTTCTCTCATTAATTATTATAAATATTTAAAAACATTTATAAAGTTTTAACCTTTAATTAACGGACATCGAATGAATGCATAAACAAACTAATTATAAACACCAAAAGGAAACCTGTAAAATGCCTGAAAAATCACTTTCAATTTTAGAGTTAAAAAAACTTTTCTAAATGATGATTTTATTAAACTTAATATAAAAAATATATCCTACAACAAAAAAGGGCAAAAGACTTAATTTTGAGGATAGAGATGAGTTTTATTTTTTTAAAAAAATCGTAAATGCTAACAATATGTAAAATCATTAAGTCCAACCCAACTAGCCCACCAATAGTCAAGCGGTCTTCGTACCCTGAACACTGTTCGGTCGTGGGTTCGCGCCTCACTCGGACAGGCTGGCCACGTGGAGTTTTCTGGGTTTTCTCCACGTCTGTAACACCTAAATAGGGGCCAGTTTCCCTTAAAAAGACCTCCAGGAAGCCATCCCCCTAGATTAGGGTGGCTAACAGTTTTTGCCCCCGGGCCGAATTGGAAAGAAAACTTTTTTCACGGGCCGAACCAGAGGCTGCCCTAGGAAGATTTTGAAAGGGTGCGAGATCTCATTGTGGTGTCACCCCGTAGAGACTGAATTGTAGATAGAGATTACAGATACATTTTTCACATTATCATGCTTTACCAACACTCTACGCTGTACTTACGATATTTGTAATGGAGGGTTAACTCTAAACGCACAGTGAGTTGTTGACCTTTTTTCTCTTTTTAGGCGTCAGAATTTTTCATCGAGCTATTCGGACTTCAGTACCTAATATTGAAAGATTGATCGCGGGCCACATAAATTCATTAGGCGAGCCGGATCTGGCCCGCAGGCCGTATGTTGGCCATGCCTGCTCTAGACAGATCGCCCAAGTGTTGCGTTTCCATAACTTAGCAAACAAACAACCAACCCAACTCGAGATATGACACGACACGACACCCCTCTATCTTCCCATCCATTGACCTTTTACTATCAAAGTTTAATAGCATTAATTCCTCTAACACAGTGGCGCGTTATCCTATGGGCAAAAAGAGCCAATAGGATAACGCCTCACTAACGGACCTGGAGCCCCAACCCAATCTCTTATAAGAAAATATGCTTCCCAAAAAATTCCCTCGAAGAAAAGTATCGGAAGTCAACACTGTACATAGGTCCCCTTAATTCAAATTCGCCCCGACCTCTTGAAGTTATAACGCACTACTTCCCTAACACCCAAACTTCTCTGCAAAATTTTGGAAATTTTCGACAAAAGGCACAGCAGTTATTTGGCTTTTAAGTGGGTAAACAAAATTGTGCTCCCCCACACACAAACAACCATACATATAGAAAACCTCATGAATTTTTTTTTTTTTGCATTTCTCGACATTTCAAGGTCCCAAGAATCCAAAAAATGTAAAAAATCTTGAGGGCCATTTTTTGACCGATCGCCATACCTTCCTTCTGTTACAACATCCGGAAAAGTAAAAATGGAAAAAGAAATCCACGGGTATAATCAGAAGAAAACCAGATGTATAAAACCGACAGCTGGTTTCAATGAGGCGATTACCATAAAAAACTATTGCTACTACTTACCATTCTTTGTACTTTTCGAGAATAATACTGATACTCGGCGGACATTTTATCATTTAACTGATACATCCATATCATTCCACGAATAATCCTGATCTGTCCGGACATATTGACTAACATTTGAGGCCTTTCTGTAGAAGTGGTCGAAGTGACATCCAGAGGAGGGGTGGTGTTGTCGTCTACGTGGACTTCAGTAGACTTAAATATATATTTTTAAATAGAGATTTTTACTATAATTCAACAAATTTACTCCTTTTAATATTTCTTTTTTATTATTTAAAATTTATATCCTATTATAATTGAAAATTAACTGACTTTTTAATGGTTCCTTTAACTTCCTGTTCGAGTTCTAGGAAAGCCCTTGCAAAGTATTTTTTAGTGACGGGTTAAGACGTTAGTTGATGACCGCTCNGGACATATTGACTAACATTTGAGGCCTTTCTGTAGAAGTGGTCGAAGTGACATCCAGAGGAGGGGTGGTGTTGTCGTCTACGTGGACTTCAGTAGTAGTCTTTCTTAATTCTGTCGTCCTTGTATAAGGTGTCTGATTAGCGTCAGTCAACGTTGAAGCCTCTTCTGTAGATTGGATGACATTTTTTGTAGTGGCTGCAGCGATGGTGGATGTCGATTCTTCTTCTTTATTAAATTGGAAATCCGTAGTTGTAGAAAGTGTCAAGTTCTCTGTGATTTCTTCTGGTTCTTCTTTGATTGTCCAATTATTCGGTCCGTCTGTGTATAAAGTTTTGTAAGTAGTAATTTCTTCCGGGCTTGTTGCATTTTCTGTCCTATGACTCGAAGAATTTGATGCGTTTGTGTGGTTACTTAACGTGATGTTATCGTCTACAGGATCGCTCCATTGATCGATCGATGTGTTTGACTCCGATTCTTCATTCGATACCGTATGGTTAGTTGTCTGCTCGTATGAAAAAGTGGTGAAGTACGTTATCAGTTCTAATAATGGGCTGGTAGTGTTCTGAGCATCGCTGGTGTTTTGCGAAGTGAAATTTAGCCTGAATTCTTCAGAAATCGTGAATTGTTCGCGAGATTGTGTTGCTGTTTCTTCGTTAATCTTTTTATTTAGAATTTTCTTGGCTACTTTTTTGCTTTGCTTTCTGTTATCTTTGGTCGTAGATGAGCTTTGTTCGCTTTTGTGTAACTCCATTTCTTTTCTTATTGTGTTGCTGAAGTTCGAATTCTGAGTGACGTCTGTAATACTAAAACCATTGGTGCCGAGTATCTCGTAATCCATTTGTGATAAAACTGGTACGGATGGATGAAATGTATGGCTTTCACTATCTTGATTCGATGATGATTCTTTAACATCTAGAATGGTAAGATTAAGAACTTTACACAGTATCATCGACAAATATCTTACTTTTTACATAGGAAAACAAATTTTTAACAACAGTATTCCTGTAAATTTGATAACATGTAACATTATCGTTATAGCGAATAGTTTTTAAAGCTATAAAATTCGTTATTACGTTACTCTCTATACAGTGCCGGCCCGAGGCAAGTTTTAGGATGGAGCGAGATCCTATTATGGCGCCCCCTTGGTNAAAAAAAAAAGAATGGAAGTAGAAAGAATTCGAAGATATTCAGAATATAAAATAAAGCGAATTTCATTATAAATCTATAAATGTAGCCATAAACCAAGAAGATTTTAAGGTACAGTACATAAATAAACAATCTGCCATTCGTAGTAGAAGAGTTTACAGTGGTGTCTTCAATGACAATGATGGATAGCCAGTCTCCTAGTGCTGGTTGTATAAGAGAACATACTGATAAAGTTTCTTATCTTTTCAAGAAACTAAGAAAAGCAGCATTTCCTATTGGGACAATAGAGAAAGAGAGCTTTCATCTATATACTTTTCTTCAAGGTACTCCGTTCAAAACATGAACAATACTTTATTTACTGTATATAAAAAAAAATAAATAAAGCAGAAGGGAAAGCATTGAATCGTAAAGAGTTGTAGCATATAAATACATAAGAGTCTACCTCCATTACCAGTAGTTTCATTAAGACACGATTTCGTAATTACTCCGCTTCTCCAATGCTATTATTATAAATGCATTCAAAGCGGACAATCATCATTAATCTCTTTAAATGTAGTTTGCATCAAACTTGCGCTTTTGGAATGACAAAAGCACCTGACTTCTCACCTAGAAGCATCACTAGAATATAATAAACAATAAATTTTATCCATTCGTTTCATAATTCATACAAATATCAACAAAATTAACGTAACAACTCTTACATTATTGCGCTTCATTAAGAAATTACTAACGTAGCGGAATAAAGCTGCATTTCTAGTGTAAAAAATCTTTAAAAATTTCTTCTAGAATTACATTTAAAAAGGAAAAAGAAAAAAATCCAGCAACGAGTTGCACGACTTTCCCCGCCAAAAAGTTAAATTTACGTATGGTGCCATCTGTTAATCAACTTTTTATCTTGTAAATGCTAATAACGAGTAAAATCTTTATCAAGTCCGACCCTAATCTAGATATGATATATCACCAACTCCTTGACCTTTAACCTCCAAAATTTAACAGCATCAATGTCCCTAATACACGAACCGCCTTACAAAATTTCAGAAATTTTTGACAAAAGGAACAGGAGTTATGGGCTTCAAAATGTGAAAATTTTGAGGGGTCATTGTCTGACCTCTCGTCATACTTTTCCTGTGTTATATATATAACAACAAGGAAAATAAACTGTATATTTTGTATGTAAAATAACTTAAAAAATCTGGTAAAAATAAGCTAAAAAAATCTCCTGTATTAATTTTAATTATTCGTCCAATTAAGAACGTATTATTATTATTGCACGTGCATTAATAGGGACATGAAGCAGTCTTAAGGCCGATTCACACGAGCCTTAAATTAAAGGTGACGTTGAACATGAACGACGGGTTAAACCAATCATCTGTTTTAATTTTTAAGGTCAAAAGAGACAATTGGCGGGACCACATCGCCTTAAATTTGCCGCATCTGCCTTTCGGGGCCTCATCTCCTTGCTCATTATTAATAATTTCGTTCTGTTTTCTATATAATGCCTGTAAATAAATCAGACTCGGGGCCTCAAAGGTGCATAAAATGGTGTAATATCCCATATCTTCCTAAAAGGCTCTTTTTAAAATTAGAATGCTTTTAGAATAGCTTTTTGTCATGCTTAAGAATTTGACAATTGACAAAAAGCATTGACAATATAAATATATACAGTAAAACCTGTCCAAAACAGAACCTAAATAAAACGGAAACCTGCCTAAACAGAAAAGAAATTCTTCCGAACAGAGCGATTTTTTGTTTAAAAAAAGAAAAAACCTGTTTAAAACGGAACCTGCTAAACCCTAAAAATATTCTGTACTATGTGATCCAGTTTATACAGGTTTTACTATATATTTTTTATGGTTTAAACTTGTTATAAATGTGTAAATGGAAGAAGTCAGCCATGATAAATAGTTTCTTATGTGCATTATTATTATTTTATCAACAGTTATATTATAAATTTATGATACTTTATAGTCTGCTATAATATATATTATTATTATTAAAAGTTTAAAATTTAAAATAAATATCTTTTATTGAAATCAGTTATGTACTGTACATATTTATTTATATATATACACATACAAAATTGATGTAGTAGATGTAGAAATATTTCAATATTATTGTCAGATATAAATCACTAGAATTTATATTTATATAAAGAGAAAGAAATAAAATTATATTTATTTAATGCAATAAGATTTTCTTCCATAAATGCTAGGAAAAGAAGAAGAAGAAGAAGAAGAAAAAAAAAATAATACATATAAATATATTAAATTTAATGTAAGAAATTTTGAGAATTTTCTTACATTAAATTTTTTAAGCCAAAGTGAATTTTGTATAAAATATATTTACCAAAATCCTATCACGAAAATGGATAACGTTATTGAAGTTATAAGCTGCTGTTATCCTATCAGAAATAAGTGAGATGATTCCTCTAAATCTCATTATTTAGTCAGAAAAATTGCCTGCTTATGACACGAATACATAAAAAAAAATTAGAAAATTTAAATACATATATTATTATTAAATTGATTCAATTGTAAATTCTTGTTTTTAAGTAATGGCTTTAATATTTCTTTTTTAAAAAAAAATCAAATCTTATTTTAAATATTTAATATAACAAAAATTTAATATTAATGTATCAGTGTAGGCAAATCAATTGAAATTTTTAACATATTTTCAATTATCTGTTTGATTGTTTTCCTTATTTTAGACTTATATTTTAATAGGAAATTTCTTTCTAATAATTTTAATAAAATTTTACTATTAAAATACATTAAATGTAACCCCCATTTTTATCATATTATATGTAACTTTACATCTATACAATTGGAGTAACATCAAATGTAAATTAAATGCAAATTAAACCAGAGATGCCGAAGACTGCCTGCCAGATTGATGTTTTCACCCCCCTAAAATGGAGACTTTTTGAGTCCATTGGGAAAAATAGGGAAATTCTGCAAGAGATTTTATATTGTGGAAAGGGAAATTGAAGAATATATATAACATATATATATATATATATAATAAAAAAATGCAACCTTTAACAAGTTTTTAACTCATCATCATCATCATCACAGATAGAACTTTAATTTCCATTAAGTTAAAGGTTTTATTCCTTAAGATGTGCCAAAAACTCATTGTTATTCATTTAAAAAAATAGCAATGAACAAATTTATGCTTTATTGAATTGTTCAGCTCTTTTCATTTGACTCTTCAAAAGACTCAAATTCAATAGGGATGTAGACTGCATTTTCACAAATGCAGTCGAAGATTGCATTTCACTTTCAGGAATAGAACTTTAAATTCCAATAAATTAAAGTTCTATTCTTTGCAGATGAGTTAGAGTTAAAGACTGCATTTTTTTTGTTAGAAAGTTCAGTAAAGCATAAGTTCCATTTATTAATATATTATTATTTATTTTAAGAAGTCTTCAAGCCATCTTTGAAGATATAAAATCTTTAATTTACTAGAATTTAAAGTTCTCTCCTGAAGAAGAATTAAAATTGCATAAGTAGAAAAGTACTATAAGAATTTTTAGGTTAGGAGGTATTTTTTTTATTATTAAGGTGTAGGAGCACCAATAAAGTAAAAATTTCTGTATGTTAGTAAAAGTGACTGGAAGCTGATGTTTGAATTTCTAAAATATTAAACAAATATTCTTTTATATGACTTTTTTATGACAAAATTTTATAACACTTTTAGCAATAAAACATTACTAAAAATATTTATAATCAAGTATTTTTAATGATTTTTTTTTGTAGTAAACATCTTAAAAAAATAAGGAAAAACTTGAAAAGAATGTTAGAGATTTTAATAT